TATTATATAGTTGACAATATTTCAGAGGAATAGCAAAGTTACTCAGTTATACATATATACTTTGCAGATTCTTTTCCATTTTAGGTTATTACAAGATACTCAATATAGTTCTCTGTGCTATACAGTAGGTCCTTGTTGTTTATCTATTTAATATATAGTAGTTCGTATCTGTTCATCTCAAATTCGAAATTTATCTCTCCCCCATGGTAACTAGTTTGCTTTCTAAACTGTTTTGTAAATAAGTTCATTTGTATTTTTTTTATATTTCACACATAAGTGATGTATGATATTTGTCTTTCTCTGTCTTACTTATTTCACTTAGTATGATAATCTCTAGGTCTGTCCATGTTGCTAAAAATGGCATTATTTCATTCTCTTCCATGGAAGCCCTCTTGATTCTAATCAGATGTCCCACTTCACAGTGTTGTTTTCTCCAGTGTGTAGGTGTAATGGTCTCATCTGGAGGGCTCCAGCTCCTTGATGTTCCGGGGTACCCTTGTCAAGAGCCTGCATGTGTTTAGGCCTTGATTTCTGTTAGTTTTGGTGTCTGGAAAACTTGGGTAAGGACTACATGAAAGTCATCCTTGGTCAGATGCCAGGTCATTTGGCTCTAGTGAGGAGTTCTGGCCCAGAGCCATGATTACTGTTCCTAGATCATGGTCCTCTTGAGAATTCAATCAAAGCTGTGGACCCTCTCAAGAAAATGGACATATGCCTAATATTATATACAACTTCAGTGGGATTCATGGACACCCTAAGGCCTGTCCACAGACCCCCAAATCAAAAACTCTCCAGGTAATGATCTACTGGGGACACTGTGATTGCTTTCGAGTCCTTTTATATTTGAAATGCTTTGAGCACATCAGGTGGGTGTTATATAGCTGGGACAGCTGATGACAGAGATAGGAAAAGCACGGCAAAGTGGAAGTTATCCTTGAAGAGCTATTTGCAGCTCTTCACTCTGACTATAAGTCCTGCCTGGGTGGGAACTGAGAGAGCTAGAGCAGTCCATCTTCCCACAGCCTTTCCCGTGGAAGGGTCACGGGAGCCCGTGTCAACTCTGGATCACCTCTGTCTTACAGGAAAGGAAGCAGCTGAGGTCGCTCTGGAGAAGGGGAATGAGAACGCAGAGTGTCATCAGTGGTAATAACACCCTGCAGGGGCCCAGAAAGAGCCAGCATGGGTTAGAGTGGAGCACAGCCCTTTCTCTTCTCTGCCCTGGCCAAACAGGCATTTGCCAGAGGCACCAGAAGAGGAAGCTCTAGCCTTTATTTCTGTATGTCCCATCCTTCCCCAAGCCAGGGACCCAGGGGAGTTTCCTTTGGGAAGTGCCTTGGGTGTGAGATAATGGAGAGTAATACAGCTTCCTGTTGAAACCTGGAGAAATGAGTAGCTTTGTTACAAGTCATCCTTGGCTTCAAACTTGAGGCTCCTGGCTCCTCAGAGAAGTTGGGACATTGGCAGTTCCCCTCTCCCACACAAGCTCTTCATTCCCCTAGCTGCGATCCCTGGCTGGTGGTGGACTTTGGCTTCTTCGCTTTGCTGGCATGAGGAAACATAGATGTGAGCTCACCCACAGGAAGTTTGGCAGTCAGTATTAGTCCTCAAAAGCATCAGCCCTGTTTGTGATCTCGTGTGGGCAAAGTCCTGCCACCTTGTGTGGGTCAGGGCCAACCTGTGGCCTGGAGGCCTGGTTCTAGGCACCTCGGTTTTAGTAAAAGTGTTCCTTTTCCACCTCCCTGCTGCTTTCCATAACTCTGTCCTCAGATTGTGAGCTGGAGAGGCTATGTTTCCCCATCTGTTGCTGAAACTTTGCAGTGCCTCTTTTTAGATGCCAGGTAACTGTTTCTTAGGTGTCATAGGTGTTGCTTCCCTGTGCACACTCTTGGGGCTTCTGGGGTCCCAAGGATGGAAACTGACCTCATCCTTTCTTAGCTTTTTCTTGGGAAACAGTTATTTGGACTAAAGTGGAAATAAGCCTCTGGAAGTATTAGATACAAATACCCGTCAATATTTAGTGAGTACACAAAAAAGCAATTTGGGCCTTTAGAGCCTTGTTAACTCTGCGTCCAGAAACAACCCTAGGGGGCTGGGGTCATAAGACCCTTTGTTTTTGAAGACAGAAAATGGGAAGCTGGATGGCTTTGTTCCCCTAGGAGGGTGTGGAGGAGAGGGCTGAAATTGGAGGCCTTCTCTTCCTCTGCTTCTGTTGGTAATTCTGGAGTATCCCCTTCCCAAACAGCTTCCCAGTGACGTACCAGTATGCTTGCCAGGCTAAGCAGACATAATGTATTCAGGTTTCTTACATATTGATGCTGATTTTTAGAGACCTGCTTAAGTTTTTATGACAGCTATGGCTATACTGATCATGAGGGGACATTTGGATTGAGACCTTGTCTAAGTATAAAAGAGTCCACCTTTTTTGTACCCACTGTAGTTTGGGGGATTGTGAACCTACCACTATATTTGCTAAAGAATATGAATTGGGACCCCAGGTCTGTGAAAAGAGGAATTATGTACAGATGAAGTATTGGGCAGTGCCATTGGCCATGGGTGGGAAGCCCCTTCCTGGCAGGGATGGTCCTCAGTCCTGTGCCTGAGCGTGCCGCTGCTTCCCCCCTAGGTATGCAGTGCTTTGTGGTCAGCTGGCTGAGCATGAGGGCATCCAGAGGCGCATCCAGAGTGGCTTTAGCTTCAAGGTGAGAAAGGCTTCTCCTCCTTCCCTGGTGCTGGTCTAGTGCAGATTACCTGCTCCAACCTAGCTCTTTGCAAAGGTGTTCCTACCCGACAGCTCTGTGACTTGCCTCTCTTTCCTTGGTAATTCTGCTCTCTGATGTTACCTTGTTTATATTTACACTCTAGGAGCATGTGGACAAAGCCATTGCTCTCAAGCCAGAAAACCCCATGGCTCACTTTCTCCTTGGCAGGTGGTGCTACCAGGTGAGCTAAATTTCAGGGCTTGACACAAGGGCCCAAACTATCCTGAGACACTGATCACCTTGCAGGGAAGATCTTGGTCCTTAACATGGTCTGGCTTATGTGTCATTTCCTCCAAACAGTCATGGTAGTGGTGACTGGATGCAGTCCTATTTGGCCCCTTTTTCTTTCAGTACAGAACATTCATTGTTCTTAAAGAAGTTTTTAGTTACACCTTGATCTTTTGGTGGCAGGTCTCTCACCTGAGCTGGCTAGAAAAAAAAACTGCGACAGCCTTGAGTGAAAGCCCCCTTGGTGCTACTGTGCAAGATGCCCTCTCAAGCTTCCTAAAGGTATCAGGGAGGGAAGGGAAGGGTGGACAGCAGCCAGAAAGGCCAGGGTGACCTTGTTTTCCCTAAGGACATTAGTGAATTGGGAGGGGTTTCTGGTAGAGGGCAAATTTATGTGTGCCTGTTCTATGGAAAATGAGAAACCACTGGAAGGGCTTATTAAAAAAATGTAGACTCACTGAATCAATCTCCAGGTTGGATACTGGAACTCTAGTAAACTTTAGCCTGACTTGGATTTCAGAACCTCTTACTGAAATGCATTCTCCCTTCTCCAGGCTGAAGAACTACAGCCAGGATTTTCCAAAGCAGGAAGGATATATATTTGTAAGGTAAACTCATCTGCCCATTTCAACATAGATGAAATATATGTATGTTCTTGAAAGCATACATGCATTCCCTTCTAGTCTCCTGGTGGTATTTCTCCCAGGTTTTCACTGTTGTCTCTTCTCAGTGCTACAAAGAACTAGGGAAAAACGCTGAAGCTAAACAGTGGATGAAGTTGGCCCTGGAGCTGCCAAATGTCACTAAAGAGGTAATACTTAAAAGTTTTTCTAACACAGGGTTCTTTCACTGAGTCATTATGTGACTTTTCAGGAAAGAATATCTTCCCATGGTTCTTATTTCCCTCCAAAAAAGAGTCTGCACTTTGCATATGGGTTTGTCCTTATACATCTCACCTGGGGAGGAGACCAAGTTAGTAGGTTCCAGGTTGTCCTGGGAAAGTGGGAAAAAGACTGGTAATAGCAAGGAAGCAAAGGGCCTATTCTCAGGTACCAATGGTTTAGGAAATGTTTGCTTGGATTTAAAGTCCTAGTCTTATTCTCTTGTCTTCCTAGGATTCAGCTTTCCAGAAGGACCTGGAAGAATTGGAAGTAATTTTAGGAGAATAATCACATTTCAATGGGCTTCATGACTTGAGGAAGGAAAAAAATTAAGTCTTTTCCCCTTAGGTCCTGCTTAGATCAGGAAACTGAGCAAGACTGCTTAAGGGAGTGTCTTGACTCCTAGGTCTGACTGCTGCTTGGTACGATTCCCCAATTTCTTCCTACTGGTTAATTTATTCTAATCCCTTACCTAATCTGAAATTGGGGAAGTACTTGAGACCTAGGTTTCTGTTACTTTTTCCATAAAGTGAGTTCTCAAAAAATCAAGACTAGTATACACCTGCCCTAGGGTAGAGTGTGGATAGAACACTGAAGGCTGCCTTTCAACTGCTGGTGAGTTGGATGAACTCCGGAGAGCTATAGGAAACAAAACACAGAATGTGTATTCTCTTTTTCACTGATTAATATCCAGAACCAAAGTATATACAGTCCTAAGATCACACACCCCAACCTACCAGGGTGGAAGGTCAGGGAGTCCGTGGGTGTTGCCTCTGCTCAATCTATCATGTGGATCGCAACTGTACTCCTGGGCTGAGGGCTGGACCACCTGACTCCCAGAGTCCTGGCAGCTTTTGGAACAGCAGTGCATAAGGCTTATGACTGAAAATGATGATCTGAAGAGTTGCCTGGAATATATTTTGGTACAAACTTGAAATAAATCCAAAACTTAAATTTAACTAGAAGTGATTATAATCCCCTTTCTATGTTTGTTTTCAGCTCCTTATTCTTTCTTGGCACTTAAATAATTGTTTCTTACTGTGAGGCAATTGCAGACAAGTAGAAAAACAGTACCAAATAGTTTAGGATAAGCGCTTTGGTTAAAGAAAAACTGAGACAAGTTTGTAGGTCAAGGTCACTTAAAATACGTTATAGGTCTAAAAGATAGAGATGTTTTTATATAAGAATGAAGCTTTCATTCCAGAGTCTGTCACTGTGGGTTTATTACATCATTCCAGGTTTGTTTTGTGATGGAAAAAAAAGGAAGAAGACTTAGGAGGCACTCTGGTCTATAGTCAGGGAACAGCTGTTTTTAAAACAAAGTTGCATTAAATTTTGTCCTCCTATCTCCTTACATACAGTAGGATCAACACAGGCACTAGCCTGTGATTTGCACTGCCTCTCCACCCAATTCTAGCCAAGAGGCCCTTTGAAATTGGAAGAGTTGCTTAAAACTCACGCTGAGTAGACATGAAGGGGAAGGAGTATCTCAAACCCCTAAAAAGCAGAATAATCTGGGCAAGTACCAGATTTATACAATACAAACCTCAATAGAAACAAAGGCCACAGGAATGCTATGGAGTAGCTATCTTGTGATATTTTCTATGAGTTTAAAGGAGAATAAAGTGAATCACCTGAAGGTGGGACTTCCCGTTTACATTTTCAGTTTTAAAGTAATAGAAACTGATCATTCCTTTCCAGAGCCAAAACAGTATTACGAAGGCCCTATGTTGAAATATTCAGCTTGTACAGAGTAACTCCTATAAACAGCACATTCCCTACAAATAACTACTTTATTAATAGCCCCACATCGAATCTACTAAAGAGCGTCTGAAATGATTATCTTGAATTGCTCTTAATATTAAAACAAAATTCTTACGTAAGCTAATTCAGACACACAAACTTAAAAACCTGCTTCTGATTTAACAGTTTTTACTGATGGAGGGAAAAGAACCTGTGAGACGACCCACTCCATTTGCTACATAGCTCAGGTATTTTTTCCTAACATTATTAAGACAGAGAAGTCAGGTCTCTCCAGCTTTAGTTAGTTCTCTTGGAGACATAAGAGTGGCCAATAGCAGTTAGTCCTGAGTCAATCCCAAGGCACTATGATGTCAAAGGTATTTCATACCTACCCCCCAAACCAAAGAAATCACATAGAGATTAATATACTCTAGAAGGAATAAACAATTCAGGTCAGCTTGTGACCACTGACCTGTCTCATGTTTACACCATAAGAAAAGCCAATATAATAGCTGTTTTCCTGAAAGCCTCTTGCTGGCAGTCACAACAGGAAGAAGCCTGTGAAAAACTCCAGGGAGCAGTCCTTTCCATTAGTCTGCAGCGCTTAAGGTTTATCACAAGGGAAAAACAATTCAGTCTTTGGCATCTCCCACTCCATCCGCATTGATGGCAAACATAGCTTCAGCTTCAGGAAGACAAGGAGAGTCATAGATTTTGCAGATTCTGGTTTCCCCTCTTCCTTTTCTCAGGTACAGTCTGAGGCAAAGACAGACCAAAGCACCAAAATTATAATTAAAAAATTCTATTCCTGATCTATTTATGGTGTATCTAAAAGGTTTTTAGACTTATATGTTTCCTAGAAGGATTTTGGGGGATCTTGCTGTATTCCTTAGGGTACTTCCCATCCAGAGAAATCCATTTCTGCTCACCCCCTGTTCCCATTGGATTTCCTATATTGAAACCTTTTTTTAAAAAAATGAGACATTATCAATTCTTCAAATGTATTCCTCCACACTTGAGCTTTTAATTCCTTTATGAACTAAAAGCAAACATTAGTTTTAACCAGAGCGTGACAATTAGGTTAAGCCAAGGCTCCTGTGTCTAATTACAGACTAGCGGCTTTAACAAGGTTTAAATGGAAATGTTATGTTCCTGTCTGTCTCACAGTTACTATGACACTGCACAGTGAAGCCTGCCTGTCCTGTCGACTTTACCTTGTTGTTGAGGCGTGAGCAATGATGTTTCCTCCAATAGGCTTCTTAGGGTCCGCGGCAAACATGGCTGCTCCATCAACCTGGGCCACCACCTGGTTGGTGATTACCACTGCTACCCCAAACTGACAGGGAGAGCATAAACGTCATTGTTTGTGGTCAGACATTCCAAGAGCCTTACTGATGCCACCCCATCCCCAAAGCAATGAATGACTAAAGTCTCTATATCTAACTGATACCTTGATGATACCAGACCCCAGTAACCTGGCCTCCTGGCAAGGCTACTAGAATTCATAGCTCCTGAAATTAGGCACTCTGTCCCTACCCCAAAACTTACCTCATCAGCAAGTCGCAAAAGCATCCGCAGAAACCTGGCCAAGTGCATCTGTCTGGCTGAAAGCTCACCTCGACCCGAATAGTCCGTTCTGTAGAGGGCGGTGGCACTGTCTACAATTAGCAGTGCATACCTACAGGGAACCCAGATTCTCTGAAGCCTGTTTCTAGAAGTCTGTGTCAGATGTTGCTCCCTTTCCCACTACCCTAACATTTTATATTTATGGCTACACTTATTTATACAACATGCATTTGAGTTATCCTATAGCAAAATTTCCAACAAGTTCAGGTGAATTATAGTTTCATATTTTAACAGTGACTTAACCTAAATCACAAAGCAAGGGTGTCAAAATAGGAACTAAAACTTGAATCTCCCCATTTCTAATTCAAGCTACTATCAAATTGGCCACAGCCTGTACAAGATCCTAGTCAAGGGCTCTGGGAAAACATGCTCAGTATCTTCTACTGCCCACATACCTGGACTCTACCATCATGGCCGATGCCTGATAAAGGAGCTGGGTCTGGTGGTCTGTGTTGAACCCTCGAGCATATGCTACATTATCCAGGACATCACTGCCAGAGAGGCCATATCTAGAAGAGAGAGCATTTTGAGGCTGCATACAAAACTAAGGCAATGAAATTACCTGAATGGGTAGGTAAGAAGTGATAGTAAGAAGGCTAAAGAATATAATTCCCTTTCTATTAGGAAGCCCAGTGCAACTACAGAGAAAGAGAGAACAGCAACTGCATTAGAGTAGATCTGGCAGGACTTCAGAATAAACCAAACCTATTCTTTGAGGACTCCTGAACTAGAGTGAGAAATTTCCAAATAGAAGGAAACAATCCATGTTCTGGAAAAACAAAGTGTAGCATGACAGATTTAGGACTGAAACAAAAACAGTGAATCACTCAAAGATCAATTAAACAAAATCATATAAACTATTGTTGTATAGGAATAAAACCTCCTAAATTAAAAAACCTAAGGACTCAAAACTGTAAGAGTCCTATACTTAAGAGAAATAAGTATACTCCATCTATTCTTCCCTTTTTCTTGCTAGTAACAAGTTATAGAATCTGTGACACAGATCTAGTAGGGTTAAATAAGTAATACCTTAATTCATCTTATATTTCAATAATGATTTTTCACTTTTGCATTAAAAAATACCTTTCTTAGAACAATTTATATTTCCTTACCTTTGTAACTGCTACCTAAGATATAAATACTCAAGACAGTTTAGACAACTTCTCATTAAATGTATCCTAATAGGATCCCATTTCTTCAAAAGTGGTTTGATTTATTCATCTATGAAGACTCAGCTAAATGCCAGTACTTTATTGCTGAATACGAAGTTTTTAACCATAATCCAAACAAAAAGAGAATCATATGTCATCACTTTAACTCAAGTAATATTTTTATATGTTACCTAAAATCATTATAGTTCAAAAGTATAATACCGACTCCCTTATGTAACAGTTCAAAAGATAGCCTGTTGAAATAAAATCTATGTGCTATAATTTCTTGAGATCCAAAAGTTTCTATGCTTAAGAGTTTGTCTTTTAAGAGAAGCAATCTATTCTGTGTAAAGATTCTGATCATTACAAAAGCATACACTGTGTCAAACCTACTCTTCTGAGACTTAGCTTTAGCAGTTTTCCTCTCAGTTTTCCTACCCAAAAGAATAGAAAAACAAAAGAATGTTCTAGCCCTTGAAATAATCCTGCAATAAGCTGAGCCTCGACATCAGGAGGTGCCACTCTACCAACTGAATTTTCTACATCTTACAATGGATTCATCATATTTGGCAAACCCAGTCTTTGCACTTTCCTGGACAGTTCACCAGTTATTCTTTGCTATTATCAATACAAATGGAAGTTTAGCTAGTTTTTTTGTTTTTCTTTTTTAAAGTGGATTGATGACGATAAATTTGTTGAGTCTAGGCATGGAGACAAGAAGATGAAGCGAAGACAGTTTTACCTTAGGATCATGACCAAATGGGAATAAAAAGATAAAATTTTCTGTATTTAAATCATAACTATAAGATAGACAAAGGACCGAAGAGGCCTAAGTACTATACTAGATAAACCTTCTAGTCTTGCCTCAAGAAACATTGATACAATCTACTATCAGGAATGGAAACTACCTTCTGCTGTCAGAATACAGACATTACTAGAAAAACAAGAGTCATCCTGGCCCTTCTTTCAGCAGAGTTCATAAAGGTGATTGTGGGGATCTCTGTGCTTATATTCTTGAAGTAGTAGAGAATTTTCAATTCCTACAGCTTGGAAAAAAGCTTAGCTGGAAATAAGCAACTTCTCTTAGTTTTTCCAGAACCTCCATAAGGGTAAGAATAATCTGGAACACCTGTAAAAAAACTAAATTCCCAGACCTAAACCAAACTTTGAATTACAATGTTCATGGAAGAGTCATGGTAATTTGCATATTTAACAAATAACCTGGCACATGAAAAGATGATCAGTATCACTAATCACTAGGGAAATACAAATCAAAATCCAATGATTTTATCACCTGACACCTGTCAGAATGGCTGTTCTCCAAAAGAAAATAAGTGCTGCCAAGGATGTAGAGAAAAGTGAACCCTCATGCACTGCTGGTGGGAATATAAATTGGTACAGTCACTATGGAGAATAGTGTTTAGGTTCCTCAGGAAAGTAAATTATCATATGATCTAGTAATTTCACTGCTGGGTATATATCTAAAGAAAAAAAGACTAATTCAAAAAGATATATGCATCCCCATGTTCTGAGCATTATTCACAACAGCCAAGATAAGGAAGCAACCTAACCTGCCAACAACAGAGGAATGGATAAAGATGTGGTATATATATTCAATAGAATATTACTCAGCCATAACAAAGAATGAAATCTTGTCATTTGTAACAACATGGATAGACCTGGAGGGCATTATGCTTAGTGAAATAAGTCAGACAAAGACAAATACTGTATGTTATCACTTATATGTGGGATGTAATAAATATAACAAAACAGAAACAGACTCAAAGATATAGGGAGCAAGTAGTTACCAGTGGGGAGGGACAAAATAGAGGTAAAGGATTAAGAGGTACAAACTATTATATATATTAACAAAATAAATAAGCCACAAGGATATATTGTACAGCACAGGTAATATAGCCAATATTTTGTAAAAACTTTAAATGGAGTATAATCTATAAAAATACTGCATCAGCGTGTTACACACCTGAACTAATATAATATTGTAAATCAACTATATGTGGGACTTCCCTGGAGGTCCAGTGGTTAAGAATCCACCTTCCAATGCAGGGCACACAAGTTCAATCCCTGGTTGAAGAACTAAGATCCCACATGCTGCAGGGCTACTGAACCCCTGTGCCACAACCAAGACCAGATGCAGGGACTTCTGGTGGTCCAGTGGCTAAGACTCTGATCTCTCAATGTGTGGGCTTGGGTCTGATCTCTGGTCAGGGGACTAAATCCCACATGCTGCAACTAAGACCTGGCACAGCCAAATAATGAAATATTTTAAAAATAATAATAAATAAAAAGCAAAAAAGACCAGATGCAACCAAATATTAAAAAATCAACTATATATCAAGTATTCTATACACATATAAAAACTTATATAGTGCTGTATGTCAATTATATCTCAATAAAACTGGAAGAAAAAAATGGGAATTTTCATAGTAAAAACAAAAAACCTCAGGTGATTAACATGTAAGATTGAAAAACTCGGCTGTATTGCCTCAAGGGAGTTCTGTCCTTCTCTCTTTCATAGTATTTTAAATACATTCCAAAAAGGTAGGGACACTCTAGCAAGCAATTGTGGCCATGGTTCTCCAGCTTCAGCAAGCATCCCAATCACCTGGGGAGCTTGTCACACCACTGCTGGACCCTATCCTCAGAGTCTCTTGATCGTCTCTATTTCCGTAGATCTGTAGTGTAATCAGAGGATCTGCATTTCAATTTTCCAGGTGATGCTAATGAAGTTATAGGGAGGACTAGAGTCTTAGAAACCTCTGAGCTAGTCACCTGGATAATATTCTTCAACAGAGCATGGCAAAAATTTATCAATAAGAGTTGTTCTCTTGTGGAAGGAAATTAGGTATTAATTATCTTAGGAGGCCCTGTCCTTAACTTTCTCAGATATATAAATTTAAATGCAATATACTTAAGTATAAACTCAATTATAAAAATGTTCCTGATAGAAGTGATTAAAATGAATTAAATTTCTAAACATTTTTCTTTTAGTTGACAAAGCAGCCATAAACATGGCTCTAGTAAATATTAGTTCATTAACAAACATCGAATGCTCTGTTCTAGGGCTTGGGCATACAGTGAATGGTCAAAGTCCCAGTCCTCATAACATTCTATTATCTCATATATCCTATCTGAACACTCATTTATATTACTGGACAAAATCTTAGTGACTTAATCCAAAAGAACTCTTCAACTAATAAAATAGCATACTTTTCTGTAGAACCAAAATCAACTTTGGGAAGGAATCTACATTTCAATATATTAATCTCTAGTAAACTAAAATCAGGTTGCAAGAAAGTAATTTTTCCTGACAGGGATTTTGTAAGAAGAAGCAAAGGGCTACAATTATTGTTCCAACCTAATTTTATGCCTCAGTGGTGTACATCTGATGACTTGGACTCCTCCAATTGTAAAATGGGAAAGAGAATTCTGTTACAATTATAAAACTAGAGAATTCTCCTTAACTTAGCATGGCAGGTTCCAATGTGAGTCTAACATCTCAACATGCAATTAAATTCCATTTAATCACTAAGTTTCAGTAAAATGTGTGGTAGGGATCAAATTATCATATTTGACCCTTGACAAGGGAAAATTAAGGAAAACAATTTTGAAAGTTTATTTGAAAGTTCTATTAGGGGATGTAGGAAAATTACAAATTCTTTTTTTAATTAAAATAAATTATTACTTATTTGGCTGCACCAGGTCTTAGTTGCAGAATGTGGGATCTATTAACAGTTCCCTGACTAGGGACTGAACCCAGTCCCCCTTGCATTGGGAGTGCAGTCTTAGCTACTGGACCACTAGGGAGGTCACGAAAAAATGTACAAATTCTTTATCAGCTCTTCTGAGGTATAATTTATATATCATAAAATCGATGTGCTTTAAGTATAAAATTCAGTGACTTTAATAATTCAATTTTAGAACTTTTCCATTGCTCAGAAAGATTTCTCCAATCTATCTGCAGTTACTTTCTGTTCCTACTGCCTGCCCCAGGCAACCATGAGTCTACAGTCTCTACAGATTTTCCTTCTGGAAATTTCATATAAATGGAATTATATTTGGTCTTTTCTGTTTAGCTTCTGTCATTTAGCATGTTGTTGGGCTTTATCCATGTTATAACATGTATCATTACTTCATTCCTTTTAGCTATTTAATAGTATTCCATTGTATGGATAAACCACCTTTTATCTATTCATTCATTAGTGGATGGACAATTGGGTTGTTTCTATGTTTTGGCTATTTAATAATACTTATAAACATCCACAAACAAGTCTCTGTGTGGACGTTTACATACCTCTTGGGTACATAACCAGAATGTAATTGCTGGGTTATATGGCAAGTTTATGTTTAAATGTCACACAGTTTTTATTGTCAACTCTCAATTCTATTCCATTGATCCATATGTCTATCCGTATGGCAGCACCACACTGTCTTGATTACTATTATTTATAGTAAGTTTTAAAATTGGGAAAACTGAGACCTCCAATTTTGTTCTTTTTTTTCTCCTCCAAGAATGTTTTGGCTTTTCTGATATTTGGCTTTTCTTGATATTTCCATATTAATTTTATAATCAGCCTGTCAATATCTGGAAAAAAGGTTGGTGGAATTTCAATGGGCACTGTATTGAATTTGTAGGTCAATTTGAGGGATCATTACCATTTTAATAATATCACATCTTCCAATCCATGAATGTGACATGTTTCTCTATGTAGATCTTCTTCAGTTTCTTTCAGCAATGTTAGCTATCAGTGTACAAGTCTTGGACTTCTGTTAAATTTATTACTATTTCATTCTTTGTGATACTACTGTGAATGGAATTATTTTCTTAATTTTTGAATTATTCATTGCTAGTATATAGAAATACAATGGATTTTTGCATATTGAGATTGCATCCTTTCAACTAATTTAGTTCTAGTAGTTTTTTGTGTATGTAGCTTCTTAATACCCACTCCAGTACTCTTGCCTGGAGAATCCCATGGACAGAGGAGCCTGGTAGGCTACAGTCCATGGAGTCGCTAAGAGTTGGACATGACTGAGCAACTTCACTTTCATTTTTCACTTTCATGCACTGGAGAAGGAAATGGCACCCCACTCCAGTATTCTTGCCTGCAGAATCCCAGGGACAGAGGAGCCTGCTGGGCTGCTGTCTATGGGGTCACACACAGTCGGACACAACTGACGTGACTTAGTAGCAGCAGCAGCAGCTTCTTAACGATTTTCTACACATAGGATCATGTCATTGATTAATGAAGATAGTTTATATTTTCTATTCCAATCTGGATGCTTTTTATTTCATTTTCTTGCCTGACTGCACTGGCTGGAACCTTTAGTACAATGGGAAATATAAGTGGTGAGTGTGGAGATCCTTGCCTTATTCCCAATCTTAAGGAGAAAACATTCAGATTTTCACTATTAAAATGCCAGCTGTAGGTTTTGGTAGATGCTCTTTATCAGGGCATCTGATAAATGCTCTATCCATTACTGAGAGTGAGGTATTAGTCCCCAATAATTATGCATGTATTTGGGGGCTCTATTAAGTGCATATATATTTGTTATATTGTCTGGCTGAACTGACCTTTTAGTTATAAGATGATCCTCTTTGCCTCAATTAATGCTTTTTTTGGTCTTAAAGTCTGTTTTGTCTGGTATTGGTATAGCTACTCCAGCCCTCTATGGTTACTATTTGCAAGCAATATCTTTTTCCATCTTTTTAGTTTCAGTCTATTTGTGTCTTTGAATCTAAACTGGTTCTCTGGAAGGCAGCATATAGTTGACCTTGTTTTTTATCCAGTTTGACAGGAACTCACAGGTTTTTGACTAAAGAAGTGTGTTTTTTTTCTAAGGAAGGTTATTCTTTTGAAACACACAAACAACTCTGGGATATGGAGCAATAAGAGAGAGGAAAAGACACTCTTCAGCCAGACTAACCCTGGCAATCACTACAGTGACAGATGGAGCCATATTTCTCTTGTCTGATCCAGTAACCTACCTCTCAGCCACTGCTAGCAGCCGTTCTGGCCTAAAGGTACCTTCGGTGTCAATGTACATGGCCTTTCCTTCACCTCCACCTCGGTCAATGGGAAGCTAGAGAGAAAAAGAACAGTAGAAATGACACTGTACCTCATATAACTGAACAACTTCCTCCTGATGGACCTATAATTGCTTCCACTCCCAGTAAAGCAAAACAAAAAATACTTTAAAGTGACAATAAGATCTAGGGAGGAGACACTCACTTCTGAGAGAAGTACATCTAGTAATAGGTATAGAGTTAATTGTGAGGCTAGAGTTTGGACAGAGTTGAAGAGTGCTTGGAAATATATACCAAAGTAGGTGATAAAATTCCTTTTTTTAAACACATACACTTCTTCCAATTAAAAAAAAGCTTCTATCATTGTATACCAGCAAAAGAATGATCAAGTCTCTCAAGGCAATTTGGAAGATCATTTACTTAGCTTTAATAAGCAAGAGACTCTGATCCAATACCCAATTCATTTTATCATATCCAGACCACACTTAAATGAGCAGAGCTCATATTTACCAAGCAGAGTTCATTCCTTTGGGTTGCTGAAGGAGACTGGCAAATACCCCAGGGATATCCCTAGCACATTTAATAGGTGTTTGCTCCAATAATACACATAAGATATTGAAAATAAACAAATGTAGAAAAGGAAAAATAATCAGAGTTTAAAAAAAAGAAAGAAAATGGAGAGGAGTGCCAGGAAAACTGTCTCATGAGCTGTTCAAGGAAATCCGTTTTAGACTACCTATCCCATACCAGATACTAAGTTCTACAAATTTCAAGTGAATGTTGCTAAATGTTAGTTTCCACCCCTGAAATCTACTTTGGAACCTTTAAATTCTGAGGAAAATCCCTTACAACGGTTTACATTAAGTGCCTGGTAGTGCCAAAATTCTGTCTTTTCCTATTTCTGAGAAAAAGGATTTTTTTTCAAAATTACAAAAGTACTACATGCTTGTATTAAAAATTCAAGCAATACAGAAATAAGTAGAGTGAATAAAAAAAAAAAAGGAAAATTTCTTCTTTAAAAACTCCCATCTCCCAGGAGTCATCTCCCAGATCATTTTCTGTGCATTTTCATACAAATACTTTTTATATATGTGATTCTGCCACTTGCTATGTGACCCTGAGAATATTTATTCTCAGTTTTTACATTTTATGTAAAATGTAATAAAACCTACCTATGGCACTATTTTGAAGATTAGATAATTCATGCTAAGTGTTTAGCACAGTGCCTCACATATAGAAGGCATCTGGAAGACTCAAGCTATCCTCCACCTCTAGGGCACTGACTTTGGCATATACTCACAGAAGGCTTCGTTAATTTGGAAAGGGGAAAATGATTATGTTGTCATTTGGTAGGTTGGCAGATAAAATTTTTCAAACCATAGGAATTCGTGCAAAGAACAAAGGATATATATATACAACAGAAGAATGTCTTCAGAAAGCAGAAACTGCCTCGGTTTTTGGGGAGGAGAAAATCTTGACATTCAGGGGGCTAAGTCCACAGGAATTAAAATGAATGAGGTTCTCCCTTCTCTCACTTTCTTGCATCTTTAGTACTAGCATGGAGTTCTTTTCCAGCTATATAGACCTCCTTGGGCAGAAGGGAGGCCATGAATGTCTGGCAGACTGGCAGACTGACAGCAGATATGGACACGGTCCCAGCAGAGAAGTGGACTGCTGGCCCAGTCACAGGGGGAAAGATTATGTGCTGTACACCCCTGCTCATTTTCTCTCCTCCACCTCACCCTTTCAGTGTCACCTCAGCCATCTCGTGTTGCTGGGCTGACCACCAAGGTAGCTATTTGCAATAACTGCTTAGTACCATAAGCAGAGACATCACTTTGCCGACAGAGGTTCATATAGTCAAAGCTATGGTTTTTCCATTAGTCATGTATGGATGTGAGAGTGGGACCATAAAGAAGGCTCAGTGCTGAAGAACTGATGCTTTTGAACTGTGGTGCTGGAGAAGACTTTTGAGAGTCCCTTGGACAGCAAGGAGATCAAACCAGTCAATCCTAAAGGAAATCAACCCTGAATATTCATTGGAAGGACTGATGCTGAAGCTCCAATACTTTGGCCACATGATGCCAAGAGCTGACTCACTGGAAAAGACCCTGATGCTGGGAGAGACTGAGGGCAAGAGAAGGGGGTGACAGAGGATGAGATGGTTGGATGGCATCACTGACTCAATGAACATAAGTTTGAGCAAACTCACAGAAATAGTGAAGGACAGAGAAGGCTGGCGTGCTGCAGTTCATGAGGTTACAAAGAGTCAGACATGACTTAGTGACTGAACAACCACAAGAACAATAATTTAACTCTTATTTCGTAATGATGCAAGTTGTTTCGAACTTTCACCATTTTATAATGCTATGGTGTAAATTCTTTCTACATATATTCTTGATTGTATGCAAAAAGTTTTGTAAGACACATTTTCTGTCAAGGGCATGTGCATTTAAAATTGGTACTTAATACTGTCCTTTCAGGATTTTAAAATTATTCTAGTACTGTGAACAAACACAGGCTCTTCATTTTTATAACCTAAGTATGACTCTTAACTTTATATAACTTCACTATTAGACAGATCTGATACATAACAGGGTTTCACTTCATTAAGTCAAGAAAATCTGAACAAATAAGAGGTGATTTAGATTTAAATACTAATCTAACAGCCTCTCTATACCTCTGGTTCCAGCTCTTAGGGTAGTGACATGTAATCCTTTCCATTACTAATGAATTAGAACTTTTTTTCTCTGACAAAAATATCAAAGATCCAGTTATTCAGCCAACTGTGAATGCTCAGTTGTTTTTATAGAGAGGGTATGTTTTAGAATTTAGCTTCAGTTTATTGTTAACAGGCATTATCTGACTACTAATAAACATTCCCGAGATAGGAGTCTGTCTGTACAACTTAAGAGCATCAGCATGCTACGCTGAGTTGCCAATGGCAACTACAGATATTGTGTAATGTACTCTAAATATTTATTCCATGTGAATCCCTGTCAAAACAACATAGGGAAAACATTTCTATTTATAAAGGTCACATATCGTATCAGATGACCCATATCTGAGTGATATTTTAAATAGTTTTATTTCCTTTTGGCTAAAATTTTCTAATGGTGCTTGGGCAATAACTGTAGCTCCTGCAGCTTGACTGTACCACTGTTCCTCTTCTCAATGCTTCCCCTCTATCCTAAAAGTTCTTATATCCCCCTCTTTTCTCCCTGGAGTTATTTATGAGATGAATCAACATAGCTTATGTGTACTTGATACTAGAATCCTAATGTGGCTGTAAGTGGTGACATTTTGGTTGTAATGAGAAAGATCAGCAGAGTTACTGAGGAGAGAAACACAATCAAAATGACAAATGAGAAAGAAAAATGATGAGAAAAACAGGAGACCATTAAGTTGGGTCTCTTGTTATTAGATAAACTTTTATTCATGCAGAATGAAAATATTTTCCTATCTAAAATGACCACTTCAAGACAGCAGTGTTGACTAATGGACATTATCTGTAAAATGGGGGGAAAAAAAAGGAGGACAGATTTTCTTGGGTGACTTGAGAGAATCAGTCTCATAAGCCTCTGCAGATATATATGTTTCACTAAATGTGATCTCTATCCAAGACAAAGAATCCTAAAAAAAAATCCATATTTTTTTAATGGCACATAGCATCTTTATAACATAGCACTACAGTGATGTAACAAACATTATTATAAAGTGCTCTTAAATACAGAATAAATTATAAAAGTTCATAATTTGTTTCATAAGGGAAAATACACAAAAGAGAACAATTTATATTTGATGTTAAAATTTATAAGTTCCAAGAATGAATGTTATTTTGTTGAGAGGATAAGAACTCACACTGGATGTTAAGATACCACGAAGTTCCCTCTGTCATACTGACTGAAGAAGGCATATTTCCTTTCAGTTATTCTCTAACTCCATGGGTAAGTTGTGTCCTTGGGAGAAGTGAGTGTAATCTATCTAGACAGTTTCCAACTTAACTATGGCTTGATTTACAATCCTTCGACTTTACCATGGTGTGAAAGTGATACGAGTTTAGTACAAACCAAAAATCTGAATTTCAGTCTTTTCCCAGGTGAGTCATTTGCTGTACGATACTTTCATGGTACTGGGCAACCACACTGTGCTGCCAGTCAGCCACTTGAGCTGGAGAGTAAACAGCTGGTACACTTACAAACATTCTGATTCTCACTTTCAGTATAGTATTCAATAAACTACATATGAGAAATTCAACACTTTATTACAATACAGGCTTTGTGTTAGATGATTTTGCCCAACTGCAGGCTAATGTAAGTGTTCTGAGCATGTTTAAGGTAAGCTGAGCTAAGCTATGATGTTCAGTAGGCTAGGTGCATTAAATGCATATTTGACCTGTGAAACTACCGCACAATTGCACTCATCTCACACACTAGCAAAGTAATGTTCAAAATTTTCCAAGCCAGGCTTCAACAGTACATGAACCGTGAACTTCCAGATGTTCAAGCTGGATTTAGAAAAGGCACAGGAACCAGTGATCAAATTGCCAACATCTGTTGGATCATCAAAAAAACAAGAGAGTTCCAGAAAAACATCTACTTCTGCTTTATTGATTACACCAAAGCCTTTGACTGTGTGGATTACAACAAACTGTGGAAAATTCTTCAAGAGATGAGAATACTAGACCACCTCACCTGCCTCCTGAGAAACCTGTATGCAGGTCAAGAAGCAACAGTTAGAACTGGACATGGAACAAAAGACTGGTTCCAAATCGGGAAAAGAGTACGTCAAGGCTGTATATTGTCACCCTGTTTATTTAACTTATGTGCAGAATACATCATGAGAAATGCTGGGCTGGATGAAGCACAAGCTGGAATCAAGATTACCGGGAGAAATATCAATAACCTCAGATATGCAGATGATACCACCCTTATAGCAGGAAGTGAAGAAGAACTAAGAGAACTTTCACTCTTGATGAAAGTGAAAGAGGAGAGTGAAAAGGCTGGCTTAAAACTCAACATTCAGAAAACTAAGATCATGGCATCTGGTCCCATCACTTCATAGCAAACAGGTGGGGAAACAGCAGAAACAGCGGCAGACTTTATTTTTGGGGGGCTCCAAAATCACTGTAGATGGTGACTGCAGCCATGAAATTAAAAGATGCTTGTTCCTTGGAATAAAAGTTATGACCAACCTAGACAGCATATTAAAAAGCAGAGACATTACTTTGCCAACAAAAGTCCGTCTAGTCAAAGCTATGGTTTTTCTAGTAGTTGGACTATAAAGAAAGCTGAGTGCCGAAGAATTGATGCTTTTGAACTGTGGTGTTGGAGAAGACTCTTGAGAGTCCCTTGGACTGCAAG